TTGGTGCAATCGCTATGTTGCTGGACTCCCATGTAGTCAACTGTAGTTCGAGTCCTGGACCCGGTGGCTTAAACTCACACCAGGTGCATGTGTGTGTGTGTCCAAGATCCCAAGAGGAGAATGGAGGAGAAGGGATTGCGGTGTGGCCATCTCTTCTTGCTTTCTGTTTCTCTGTCTGTCTCTATCTTTCTGGCAAGTACATGCGCCCTATGGCAAAACCTCTGCAAAAAAAGAAAAAAAAAAAAAAAAACACTGTTAAGAAAAGAAAAAGAAAATTACAAGCCAATATCCCTGATGAACACAGATACATAAATCCTCAGCACATAACAAATCAAATTCAACAGCACATTAAAAGGCTCATTCACATGATCAAGTGAGATTATCCCTGAGATTCAAGGATGGTTTAACATACATATCAATACATGTGATATACCGTATTAGCAGATTAAAGAACAGGAACCATATGATTATGGCCCAGTTGCAGTTGCACAAGTGGTAGGAAGTTGCTACACAACCCTGGAGCCAGAGGGGAAGCCCAGGTTCAGATCTCAGGTCAATATGATTATGCCAGGCATATCCACACACGCCCGTCATCCTGGATGGCTGGGAGGCTCGGACAAGGGTCACAATGTGGTGAAACCCTGTTAGACTCTCTCAAAGGTACCTGTTTGCCTCTCTCATGCTCTTTCTCTCTCTCTCCCTCATATGCACACACACACACACACACACATTAAATAAATAGAATTAAATAACCATATGATCCAATCATACAGAATAGAAACAGAAAAAGCATTTGACAAGAGTCAACATCCTTTCACCATAAAAATTCTCAAACTGATACAGAGTAATACACTTCAACAATAAAGGACATACATGAAAAGGCCACAGCTAACATCACATTTAATTGTGAAAAATTGAAAGCTTTTCCCCTGAGATTAGGAACAAGATAAGAATGTCTTAAATTTCTATCAAGTCCTGGCCAGAGCAATTAGGCAAGAGAAAGAAAATTAAAAGCATCCAGACAAGAAAGAAAGAAGTTAACCATCCCTGTTTGCAGGCAACATGATTTTTTAAAACTTGTTACAAGGCATGCAGGACTGCCAGAGAGAGACAAAAAGAGAGAGGGGAGGGGAGGGCAGTGAGAAGGCACTCCTCAGGGGGATGGCCAAGCTGCAATCCTTCTCCATTCACCTCTCAGGATTTTAGCATGTAGGCACCATGACATATTTCTCAAGCATGTATTTCATAAGCAGGGACTCAAACCACTCATCAGACATGTGACATCTACCTGCCTTAACCACCACATCACTGGCTGGCCCAGCAACACAACCATATATGTAGAAAATGCAAGACTCCACCAAATAACTATTATAACTAAAAAATGCATTTAGGAAAGTTGAAGGATACAAAATGAACACACAAAAACCTATGTTTGATTTCTGTATACTCACAACAAACTATACAAAATAGAAAACAATTCCATTAACAATATGTACCAAAAGAAAATATATACTTAGGAATAAATTTAACCAAGTAGGCAAAGGATCTGTACAACTAAAACTATAAAAGATTGATAAAAGCAATTGAAAAAGAAAGAATGCAAAGATATCCTATGCACATACATTGGAAAAAATAATAATGTTTAAATGTCCATACCACCAAAAGCAATCTACAGTTTTGGTGTAATCACTACCAGAATTCCAATGACATTTTTCCTAAAAATTGAAAAAAACAATGATAAAATTCATATGGAACCACTGAAAAAAAAAAAGCCAAAGAATTCTTGAATGAAAAGAATAAAGCTGGAGGCATCACACTACCTGATTACAAATGTAAAGTATCCAAAGGAACCAGGCAGTGGCATTAAAATCAAGCATATAGGCTAACAGAACATAATAGAGAACCCACAAAATGCGTTCATCTATCTACAACTGATTTTAACAAGGTACCAATGTACTAAATATGTAAAAGGAAGACTGCTATATCTAAAGAGAGATACAGAATACAATATACTAATTCTTGGACATTTCAGCACTCCACTCTCACCACTGGACAGGTCAAGTAGACAAAAAAATAAACAAAGAAATGTAGGAGCTAAATGATACCATAAACCAAATAGATATGACAGACATTAATAGAATATTTCACTCAACAACTACAAAACATATTTTTTTCTCAACTCCACAAAGAACATTTCTGAAGACTAACTACATAATAGGGCTCAAAAGAAGACTTGGCAAGTTTAAAATGATAGAAACTATGTCTAGTATCTTTTCTGACAATGAAATTAAACTTAAAATCAACAACAAAAAGAGGCTTCAAAAATATACATATATATGGAAACTAAACAATTTACTCCTCAACAACTTCAAAACTATTGAAGAAATTAAGACTAAAATTTTAAATTTCTTGAAACTAATGATAATGAACACACATCTCTCCATAATATTTGGAACACAGCTAAAACAATCCTAAAAAGGAAGTTTATAGCAATTAGTGTTCGCAAGAAGAAAAACATAAAGATGGCAAGTAAATAACCTACAATACAGCTTAAGGAACAGAAAGTTCAACAAAAAAAACTCCAAAAGTCCTACTGGGTTGTCAGAAAAGTCATGACATATTTTTCTAAGTTTTCATATGCAAGAATGCATCATGACTTTTCCAATGACCCAACAGAAGAAAGGAAATAATGAAGATTAGATAGAAATAAATGAAACTGAGAATAAAAGAATAGAAAAAAGTAAAAACATAAATAAATTTTTTTCAGAAGATAAAATCTACCAACTACTAGACTAATCAGGAAAAACAGAGAAAAGAACTAGACAAATAAAATCTGTAATGAAACAGGGAATATAACAACAGATGTCATAGAAATACAGAAGAATTAACTCCAAAATATTTCTAAAGATCGAAATCGAAGGAATCCAGCCAAACTCATTCCATAAACCTTTTATAATCTGGGCGCCAAAAGCTGGCATAGATCAATATCTCTGATGAACACACATGCATAGATTCTGAACAAAATACTAGCAAACTTAATAAAATAGCAAATTGGAAAGATTATTCATCATGGCCAACGAGGCTTTATCCCAGGGATGTAAGGATGGTTCAACATACACAAAACAATAAATGTAATACATTATAGTAACGGAAGAAAGAGGAAAGTCATATGATCATATCAACTGAAGCAGGAAAAGCATTAGATAGGGGACCAGCAGGTGGCATGGTGGTTAACACTCCCACGTGGTCAACCATGGTTTGAGTGCTGGACCTGGTGGTGGTCTTGCTTTCTCACTCCTCTCTCTCTCTCTTTCTGTGTGTGTGTGTATGTGTGTTTGTGTCCAGTCAAATTAAAATGAATGAATGAATAAATAAAATTGAATAAAATAATTATTTTTAAATAAATCAAAAGCATTAGATAAAATACAATGTCCTTTCATGATTAAGACTGCCAACAAAATAGGTATAGGAGGTACATTTTTCAATACAATAAAAGCCATCTATGACAAACCCATAACTAACATCATACTGCATGGGAAAAAGCTGAAAGCTTTCCCATTGAAAACTAGAACAAGACAAAGTTGTCCACTTTCTCTACTCCTTTTCAACACAGTACTGTTAAAATTAAAGGTATTCAATAGGAGAAGTAAAATTATTCCTATAGGTAGATGACATGATTCTATACATACAAAATCCAAAAAAAAAAAAACATGAAAAACTCCTATTATAGAAGTAATAAAAGAATTGCATAAAGGGATATAAAAGGGTACAAAATTAGTACAAATAGCTACAGTGTTTTTATATGGCAACAATGAACAGATTGAGCCAGAATTGAAGAAAGCACTCCCATTTACAATAGCCCTACACACACACAGACACACACACACACACACACACACACACACAATAAATAGGATTAAATGTACCTGAAGGGGTGAAACACCTAAGTAAGGAAACTATGAAAAAAAGAAACTGAATATGATACCAAAAAGTGCAAAGACAAACATTATTCTTGGATGGAAGGAACAATATAATTAAAATATCAATCCTACACAAATTAATTTACAAATTGAATGTGATTTGAATCAAATTGCTGGTGGTCTTCTTCACAGTATTAGCACACACACACACACAAATGTTCAGCATCTCTTAACTAAGGCAAATGCAAACCCAAACCACAATGAGGTATCACTTAACCCCAGTCAGAATAGCTATGTTATGATCATAAAATAAACAAAGAATGGCAAGTGCTGGCAAGGCTGTGGTGAAAAAGGGAACCCTCTTGCACTGTTGGTGGGAATGTAAATTAGTACAGCCACTGTGGAGAACAATATGGACTTTCCTCAAAAAATTTACAAATATAATTATCATATGACCCAATAATCCCACTCCTTGGTATTAACCCAAAAGACAGGAAAACAGTCAGAAAGACGCTTGCACATCCATGTTTATTGAAGCATTATTCAATTACTAATTTAATTACTAAGATGTGGAATCAACCTGAGTGCCCAATAACTGATGACTAGATTGAAAAGGCATGGCATATACACACCATGAAACAAGATGCTGTCATTCAAAACAACGTGAAGGAATAAAGATTTCATGCTAAGTGCAATAAACCAGACTATGGAAGGCAAACATCATGCATCTCTATTCAATATATAACAAAGTCTGCACTCTATGGCACAAATTAAAGATATGAAAATGTAATAGTGGTAAGGCAAGTGCAGATACCACAGACTGTATAAGAGGGAGACAGACAGTGGGGAATGGATGAAAGGGGCTCAGGAATAAATTCATAGATACAAGAATGTAAGATTCTTTGTGGAAAACAATATATATGGTAATATCCTTGATTTGATTATCATGCACTGCTTACTTGCTTTGTAAGACCATACTGTATGCCACAAAGATGTGCAACAATTAAGTAAGAAGCTATAAAATACATTTAGAAAAAAAAAAGACACAAGAAGTGTTATTTAAAATAAAAGTTCACATACCTTGGCTTCCGAAACACTAAACTATATTGTTGGCAAGCCAGACCCACAGTGGGTGTATACACAATAGGCATGAATTTCTCAATGTCAGACATTAGCACTCTATAAAAGAGTTTTTCATTTCGATCTTGAAGATCCATTAACAGAAGATACCTGTGGAAATTAGACTAAGTTAGATCTACACCCAACAAAGTCATGACATAACTACTTAGCAATCTAATTAAACATCTTTCAAGCAAGTATAAAGTACTTCTTACCAAGAACTAAAATCTAATTTTAAAAACAAACAAAAAAAAACATTACAAATATTCTTAAACACCAGAAAGCATGAAGAACCATAAACTTTATTACTATTATTCAAACATTAAAAATCACTCTTAAATAAAATAGTTTTAATACTTGAGACGATATCACTTCTTTTTTTAAATGAAAGAAAGGTAAAATTACCACAATAGGTATACTTGAAAGATTAATTTAAGTTTATTTTGGGTCATCGGAAAAGTCATGAAGCATTTTTGCATGGAAAAACACATCATGACTTTTCCGATGATCCAGTAGGAAGACTTAATACTTTAATGTGCAGTAAGCAATAATGAGTAGAAATGAAAATGAGTAGGAAGTGAGTAAAAGTCACTCTGCCAGCAGCAGAAGCCAACACTGACCTCCTGATAGGGTACCATCCTTGGGCTGATCAAGCAGCTATCTGGTGCCAGGTTGATTACACTAGAGAGCTTCCATCTTGGAAGAAGCAACATTTTATTTTTACTGGAACAGATATTTACTGTGTATATGCCTTCCTAGTATGCAGCACTTCTGCCTAAACTACTATTTATAATATCTGTATTTATAGATATGTTCACTGTCATAGTATTCTGCACAGCCTTGCTTCTGATCAAAGTACTCACTTCATAGCAGATGAAATATGGCAACAAGACCATGCTTATGGAATTCACTGGTTTTATAATGTTTCTTACCAAGCTGAAGCAGCTGGCTTGATAGAATAATAGAATGCCCTTTTAGGACTTAGTTACAGCATCACTAAGGAGGTGATACCTTGTAAAGTAGGGGTTCTCGGACAGCTGTAAATGCTCTGAATAACAGAACAATATATGGTGCAATTTCTCCCACAGTCCAGGAATCAAGGGGTAGAAATGGAAGTGAAACCACCACTAACAATCTTAGTGACCCACTGCCAAATTTCTGCTTTGTGTCCTCCTGACCTTACCCTCTGCTAGCCTAGAGGATTCCAACCATAATAGTGTTTCCACCAAGAGACACAATAATGAACCCACTGAGCAGAAAGTTAAGACCATTACCCAGTCACTTGGGGAAGCACATGACTGAATCAACAAGGCAAAGAAATGAGTTACTGTGCTGGCTGGGTGGGCTTGATTCTGACTCCCAAATAAGTAAACTGGACCACTACACTACAAAATAAGTAAGAAAGGACATGTCTGAAACACAGAAGATCCCTGGGGGGTTGGGGGGGGGTCTCTTAGTATCATCATCCCCGCAATTAAAGCCAGTGGAAACCAGCCCAATTCAGGCAAGAATTAATGATGGCCCACACCATTCAGGATTAAAAATTTGAGTTACTCCACCAGATAAAGAACTACAACCAGCTAAGGTGCTTGGTGAGGGCAAAGGGAATAGGAATGGACCATAGAGAAAGTAGTTATAAACACCAGCTATAACCACATGATAAATAATACAAACAAGATTAGTAATTATTATGAGAATTTCCTTCTTGTTTAATTATGTTTGTGTGCATATACATACAAAAGTGAGTATCTATAAGCAAATATCATTGTTTCTTTCCTTCTCTTATCACCTTATCAGATAACATAAGATGTACTGACTTCTATAATAGTATTTAGGTATTGCTAGCTTGACATCATAGAATTTAAGGTAAGAGATATAAAGGAGAAAAGTAAAAATCACTCAAGTATTTTGCATCCTTTTCTGGGAGAGGGGTTAGTGCCATTGTTGGTTGTTTGCAGGATACCTGTATCATGTTAGGTAGTGTGATCTTATCTTTATTTGGAGATTAAATGTGGTTTAAGGACATACACATATGGATGCTATTATAGTTCATTTGGGCTGCTCTATCAAAATACTATAGACTGGATAACTTAAACAACAGAAAATTACTTCTCACAGGTTAAGTCCAAGATCAGATCATCAGCAGATTGGTGTCACTAAGGGCCCATTTCTCATAGATGTTGCCCTCCTGCTGTATCCTCACATGGTGGAAGGTAAAACAGTGCTTTGGGGCTTATTTTATAAGGACATTAATCCCCTTTATAATCTAAGCATCTCCAAAGCCCCCCCCTCCACCTATTAATATCATTACTTTAGGCATCAGTACTCAATATATAAAATTGGGAGAGATGCAAATATTCATACCACAGAGGTACTAAGTTGACAAAAGGTGGACTTGTGATGGTTAATTTTATGTGCCAACTTGGCTCAGACAGTATCTTAATTTTTTAAAATAGATTTTTGCTATAGGGAACACGTAGTTGCTGGAAAGACAGAGAGAGAGAGAGAGAGAGAGAGAGAGACAGAAAGCAAGAAATCACCCCTCCCCCGCAGGAGGCATGGCCATGCTGCAATCCCTTCTCATCTATTTTCCTCTCAGGATTTTGGGCACACATGCACATATACTTGGTGCGAATTTTAAGCTGTTGGGTCTGGAACTTGAACTACAGTCAACTATGTGGGAGTCCAGCAACATAACCATTATACCATCTGCTGGACACAATTACTCACAGTTCTGAAGGTTGAAGTCAGATAAAGAGGCTAGTATGCATGGGTTGTGGTGAGGGTCCTTTTCCAAATTCCAAATGGATGACTTTTCACTGTATCTTGACATGGCAGAAAAATGGAGGGAACTAGCTCTCTGGCCTATTCTTAAAAGATTACTAATCCTATTCATGAGGACTCTACCTTCATTACCTAGTCACCTCCCATAGCCTCACTTCTAAACACCACAACAAGAGGTACTAGATTTCAACATAGAATTTGCAGGGGATCACAAACATTCAGTTCATAATACAGACAGGATGTACAGATACTTAGTCAAACACTATTCTGAATGTTTCTACAAAGGCGTTTTTGGATAAGATTAACATTTAAAATTGTAGGCTTGAAGTAAAGCAGATTATTCTCCACAATGTGAGTGGGCCTCATTCAACTGGTTGAAGGCCTTAAAAGAACAAAGACTGACTTCCCTTTTAGCAAAAAGGAATTCTGCTGGCACACTCCCTTTGAACTCAAACTGCAGTTCTTCCCTGGGTCTCCAACCTGCTGGCCTATCTACACATTCTAGACTAACAAGCCTCTCTACCTCATCTCTCTCTCTCAACACACTCACATACATGCACACATCTTGTTGGTTCTCTTTCTCTGGAAAGTCCTGATTAATGCCAATATTTGCTAGATACTGGGTTAGCTACTGCTCTTAACCCCTAAAACAAGATTTTCAATCATCCATTATTCTCTATAGTCCACAGATGAAAAAAAAAAAATAGTGAGGTTTATAGTAGTTCTATACCTTAGTAAGAAAGGGGAGAATCAAAAGCCAAAGGCAAGGCAGATACAATGGCCCTGGCAGAGGCTATAATGGTTCCAAAGGCTGGGGGAAATCTCACTTTCATCTCTGTGCTAACACAGAAACTGAATTCTAAACGAAGTAAATGACCTAACTTCACAACGGTGTTGGAACAAAAACTGGGGGCTAAAAAAGTTCACTTTCATCTGCAATGTACTTAAAGTCTCACTAAAACTGTGATGTATTTAATGATTAAAAGCCATTTTAATCTACTTTGCTGTTTAGTATAGAATGCTATTTTCTGCTAATGTACCTTTTCCAGCAATAATTTTACCATAAGAGAAAGTATCTGAGGATACAGTTTAGAAAACAAAATTTTATTTTATTTAAATGTTCCCAGAGGGTAGTTTTTATAAATATCATTGCATTTGCCAGCAAATTCTCCTCAAATTCTGTTACCCTTACCAAAAAACTAAATATTTTGCTTTTCTCATCCAATAAGCAATAAAGTAGACAACTGCTTAAGAGAAATATAAAAATCACCTTCAGGAATACGTTACCTGTCAAAGTCAGAATTCAGACGCTCAAAATTTTTAATTACTCTAAGGACCTGGATCTCTTGACTGATGAAGCAAGGTGGCAATAGTCCATGAATGTTCAACTGCTGTCTCTCTTCCAGGGAAAAAGCCAAGTCCTATAGAGAAAAGAAAAAAAATTATTTGAAGGGATAAAAAGATATATATGCATATATATATATATAATGCATGTATTAAATACAGCAGGGATAAGAAATTAAAAATCAGAAGATCTGGCATCACCGTAAGCATAGTCACGTATCTATGAGTAATCACGTAAGCTCTCTATACCTCAATTCCCTATCTGTAAAAATTAGAATGCTGTATTTTCAGAGCTGTACCATTCAGATATTGTTAGGAGGAAGGCACATAAAGGGTCAGAGGAAGTCACAAATGAAAGAAGATTTAATAATAATGTCAGTAAATATGAAAATAATTATAAGAGATTTTTAAATATACACGATTAGGTCATCTGTGACTTTTTTTCACCTGTAAAACTGTTCATTGTTCATAAAAATGCCTTTTATTACTGAGGTATGTGTTTCAACGCTTCTCTCCCAAGCTATCTCCTATTCCTCTGCACTCCTAGCCTTACAAGACTTCTCACTCATCATTGCCTGAACACACCACACTTTTACTTTTCCATGACACATGGTCCAGAATATCTTTCTTCCCTGCTTCTTGCCCTCCATGACTTACTTCAAGTGCCTCCTCCTTTCCAAAGCCTTTCCATACTCACCTAGTATGTCCATTACAACTCTTAATATTAGGCCCTATTACCTGTTTACATAAACAGATTGTGTAAAATAATAGTAATAACAAACTGTGAAGCAAAAAATCAAGCTAATAGAAAAGATGGGTAGATATAAAAAACAGAACAGACCTAAGTGATGTGCTAGGACACAGTATCAGGAGAAGTAATAGCCAAGAAGCCTCTGCAATCATTATTGGGAGAGAATAATCTGGTAGACTGGGATAAGAAATCCCTCAAGAGGTGTCCCACTGAAAATACCAAAGCCCAGGAGGCTTCTTTGATTAGACTGTGAATACTCTTCCTTTGATTCTAGCATACATGCACCAACATGATGTAACAGTTAGTGTTATGGTTTGAATGTGTGTTTCTCTCCAAAATTGAAATGTAGAAATCCTATCCCCCAAGATGGGGCCTTTGGGAGATGATTAGGTCATAAGGCAGAGACCTCATAAATAAGATTAGTGCCCTTATAAAAGGGACACCATATGGTAGTTCTATTTGTAGATCTTTGAGGAATCTCCATATTGTTCTCCACAGTGGCTGGACCAATTTACATTCCCACCAGCAGTGTAGGAGAGTTCCCCTTTCACCACATCCCTGCCAGCACTTACCTTTTTTTTTTTTCATCTTTGTCATTCTGGCTGGGGTTATGTGGGTATCTCATTATGGTTTTGATCTGCATCTCCCTTATGACAAAGGATGTTGAGCAGTTTTTTAATATGCCTTTTGGCTGTTCATATGACTTCCTTAAAGAGTTGTTTTTCCAGCTCATTTTCTCATCTTTTAATTGGGTTGACGATTTTTTTTTTTCAGATAAGGTGTTTGGGTTCTTTATGTATGTTGGTTATCAGTCCCTTATCTGAAGCATAGTTTACAAAATACTCTCCTATTCCAAGGGTTGTTGATTCACACTAATTGCTGTGTCTTTTGCCATGCAAAAACTTCTTAAACTAATGTAATCCCACTTGCTTATTTTTGGGATTATTGATTGTGCTTTATGAGTCTTATTTAAGTAGTCTTTGCCTATAATCCCACCCCTGGGTACCTATCCAAAGGACAGGAAAACACTTAAGTCAGAAAAGTGTTTGCATATATATGTTTATTACAGCATTATTCACAATTGCTAAGACATGGAACCAACCCAAATGTCCATGAACAGAAGAATGGCTTGAAAAAGTGTGGCACACAAACTATGGAATATACTCAGCCATTAAAAAAAAAAAAATGGTCAGATATGAAGGACCTATTGCTGAGTAAAGTAAGCCAGGCTATGAAAAAAAGATATTGTATGTATCTACTTAATGCATACCGACTATCCGCACTCTATGGTAGAGAGCAAAATATTGGAGGACATAAAAGCAGTGAAAGTACTTAACGAGAATAAGATAGTGTGGAATGCGGGGGTGAAGAGAAGAGGACAGAGAAAGATAACAGAACAAATAGAGAGGCAGGATATTAGTGGGACACAGATATGGCTTATTACCTGTGACGTGTATAGTATTCTCAACTGGATTGGTCTGAGAAGTATTTCATATTGGGTAAAGTCTTTTTACAAGCAAAATGAGAAATAGTGATTGACTGTTTAAAAAATAATTGGAATAATAATAATAATAATGACTGGGAAAAATAATGAAAAGATATTGAATGATGAAGTGGGGAAATTAATGTCTCTGTATTGACTGACATGCATGACATTCCCTTTTGAAAAAGCAATGTAATACACTGTAAAGTTATATGCAATTCAATGTAATATAAACAAGATTATGATGATAATAAAAATAAATAATTTTTTTAAAAAGAAAAACAAATAAAAAAAAAAAAACAAGAAGACCCTGGCTTTTAATAGAAAGTGGACAAATAGGAAGATTTACTGCTGAGTGAAGCAAGCCAGGCTACAAAGGAGAGACATTGTATGTCTCCACTTAAAATATACCGACTGCACTCTGGCTGAAACTGAAAAATTAGAGGTATAGAAACATGAAAAATGGTTATAGATACTGGATTTAGTGTGGGAAGAGAGTGGAAGAAGGAGGTGAGTCTGAAGAAAGACATTAAGGAGAAAAAATAGAAATAAAAATATACATATATGCGACACAGAAATGAATTATTATCTGTTGATGATAATGTGTATAGTATCCCCAAATGGACTGGTGAGAAATGTATTCATATTGGAAAATTCACTTTACAAGTGATGTATAGTGATTGAATATATGAACAAAATTCAAATGAAATGAGATATAAAAAAGTCATAATAAAATTGAAGGTACCCCAGAAAGCTTGTTTGCGCTTCTGCCATGTAAGGACATAGGGAGAAGACAATCAACTATGAACTAAGAAGCGAGCCCAAACACTAAATCTACAGCATTTTGATCTTAGACTTCCCAGATCTGAAGTCTGGAAAGAAATAAATTTCTTTTTTTTATACGCCACACATTTCATAGTATTCTATTATAGCAGCCTGAACAGACTAGAAAGTGAGGCTTCCCATTGAGACCACGGCTGTCTCTAGACAACCTGGGTGGGTAGGAATGTGCTCACTAACTGCATTCAGTGATTCCACAACTATCTTCCTCTGTCCCTGAAAGTTTCTTACAATGGCAGAACAGTGACTCCCAAGGCCTTGTGAAATTCATTTACTCTGGAAGAAGGACAATCTGGTTCATTCCAGAGGGAAATGGACAGACCCTTTTAGTGGTAAATGAACATATCCAATCCCAGGAAGTTTGTGAGAGTCAATGGATAAACAACCCTCTCTTTCTTCCATTTTTTTACATGGATAGACCTATTCATTCACGTCACTAATGGAAGGCTTATGTTTAACTAGCCTTCCAGGTCAGAGGGGACAGACTGAAGACAAATAGATATGATCCCCTGGCGGAAGGCCAAATCTCCAAATTACCTTACAAGAGCCAGCTGGGACCAATGACTGCACGAAGCAGTGCACAACCCTGGATTCTCGCAAGGTCTCCAAGTGCTAGCACTACAATTGGCATCTTGTTGTAATATGTTTTTCTCCACCGGGAGCCATTCTCAAAGCTGCAGAAACTCCCACTGTTGCATGCTCGGTTTGCAGTTCTCTGAAGTTCTAATATTGGACAGCAATAGTGTGGTTCCTTTCCAAGAGGGTAATTTAGTGTGTCCAACTGTGCCTGGCCCAATCACCCTCTCTTGGATGCCTGGAGAACACCACACTAAATATGGTCTGTTAGTCCTTTGCTGAGGAGTTCCAGCCAGCAACAGAAGACAATTTTGTGATGGCCTGAACGCTCTGCCTTTGTGGTTATTATCCCTACACCAAAATCCAAACTCCATGAGGTTAGGAAATTTTTTCTCTTTTCTTCACTCCTTTCTCCCTAGTGCTTAGAACAGTACCTGACATAATTAGAACTCAGTAATTACTGCATACATGATGTAGAAAAAATTTAAATATGTAATCTTAGAGACATTAAAATTATTATTTATTTATTTATTGGGAAGGACTGGACGGTGGCATGGTGGTTAAGGGCACTGGACTCCCACATGACCAACCATGGTTCAAGTCCCAGACAGAGAGACAGAAAGATAGAAAGCAAGAAATCACCCCCTCCCCCCAGGGGATGGCCATGCTGCAATCCCTTCTCCTCTATTCGCTCTGGATTTTGGGCATGCACACACATGCACACATACATGGAGTGAGTTTTAAGCTGCCAGGTCCAGAACTCAAACCGCAGTTGACTATGTGGAAGTCCAGTGACATAACCATTATGCCATCTACTGGTCCCAATATTAAAAGTATTTTTAAAACTATAAAATTGCTGTTCAGGAAACTGATTAGTATATTCAATCTGATAAAATTGCTTTTAAAATTTGAAGCTACTAGAAAGGGATATTTGTGTGAAAAAGTAATCCATAAAATGGAAGACATACTTTATTTGTTAAAGGTAAACCTGCTAAGACCAATTATTTAAAACAAAATGTCAGCAAATAACTCTTCATATATATATATATATATATATAAACTTATATAAATTCATATATTTTGAGAGAAAACAATAGATTTTCTCTAATTAGAAAATGAAAAGTAGGGGACCAGCAGGTGGCATGGTGGTTAAGAGGCTGGACACTCCCACATGGCTGACCAGGGTTCAAGTCCTGAATCTGGTGGCTTGTTTTCTCCCTTTCTCTCCCTCACTCTCACCCTCTGTCTCTCTCTGGTCAAATTAAAAAATAAATGAATGAATAAATTTAATAGAATAAATAATTATAAAAAAAAAGGAAAATGAAAAGTGAAGTGGGGGTAAAAGCTAGGCCAAAATTCAAGTGTCAGAAATGTATCAATATATGTGAAGAAGCAGTAAACTTTTGAATGTTATATCTTCAAAATCT